CCCCCCCCCCCCCCCCCCCCCCCCCTTTTTCCCGCGAAGTCGCCGACCTCTTCCGTGACCTCCTTGGTCCCTGCCCTGCCCTGCCCTGTCCTGCCCTGCCCTGCCTCCCTCTCTACACCGCGAATGCTGTTGACTAACGCTGATCCTCGTGTGAAGGGTGCCCTACAAATGGTTCTTATTCCACCGAGAAGTATGTTGAGCGTGCCGTGACCCATCACAACCATGTGTCCACCCGTTCTTACGTGTGTCCAGTTCCGAGCGAGCGAGGATCTCATGAGAGACTCGTCTGACGAAGAAGAGCTCGACGGCTCGGCTGTCCATCGCGCTTTTGATACCATGTACGAGCACCAGGACGGCTTCCCCTTCATCGTCGGCGCCAACCGCGAGACCTCCGTCTACCACTATCATCCTACGCCCGTACAAATCTTCGAGCTGTGGCAGATTTACATCAACAACGTGAATCCGCTGCTCAAGATCACGCACATTCCTACCGTGCAGGGGCTCGTCCTCGAGGCCACCAGAAATCTCGATCATGTCCCCAAGAACGTCGAGGCCCTCCTCTTCAGCATCTACATCATGGCCGTCTTGACAATCGATGACGGCCAGAGCAGGAAGCTGTTTGGCGAGCCCAAGGTTGAGCTCCTGTCCAGGTACCACAAGGCAGGCCAGCAGGCGCTGGTCAACGCTGGGTTCATGCGCACCACCGACATGATGGTGCTGCAGGCCTACATCCTCTTCCTCGTAAGCATCTGCCTCGCGATTTCGCTTCTCATGCACACAAGGTAACCCAAGCTACAGATTGCCATTCGCATGTTCATCGATCCACGGCAGATTTTCTGCTACGTCGGCATCGCTGTTCGAATAGGCCAGCGCATGGGTCTCCATCGAGATGCTCAGGTCTATGGCCTGTCCCCCTTCGAGGTCGAACAGCGCAGGCGGCTCTGGTGGACAATCGTCGGGTACGACCGCCGCATAGGCGAGATGACGGGCTCGACGGTCACGGCCCTCTCGACTATTGGCGACTGCAAACTCCCTCTCAATATCAATGATACAGACCTCCACGCCGATGGCAAGGACGCGCCGACCGAGCATGCCGGCCCGACAGAGATGCTCTTCAGTCTCATCCGCGCTGAGCTCGCCATGGCCATCAGCACCGACGCATCCAAGGACCCTCGCGTCCCCATAGACAAAGACAACCCCATCGCCTCACGGCCTCTTTCCATGGTCCGCATGGCCGGCCCCGGCGGGCAATGGTACACGCTCGACGGCTTCTTCGCCCACATTGAGGGCACGTACCTTCGATACTGCGACCAAAAGATACCTCTCCACTTCTTCACCCTGACCATGACGCGACAGGCCCTGTGCAAGATGCGCGTCGTCTCATTCCTCGTCCGCCTCGCCAACAACGACCCAGCCGCGGCTCTGAACGAGCACGAGCGTGACACGCTCTTCCTCGAAGCCACCCAGATGATCGAGTACGACAATATCGTCCAGTCGGCCGAGAGCCTCCGCGGCTACAAGTGGTATACGTTCCTGCACTTTCCCTTCCCGGCCTACATGTTCCTCGTCACCGAGATGCGGCAGCGAACAACAGGCCCGCTCGTCGACCGCGCCTGGGACGCCATTACGGAGAACCACGAGCTCCGTGGCCTCATGAATACGCTCCACAACCCTATGCACCTTGCCTTTGGCAACCTCTTCGTCAAGGCCTGGGACGCGCGCGCCGCCTCGCAGCGCCAGCAGGGCATCGTCCAGCCGGCTCCCCCGTGGATCGATCGCCTGCGCGAGCGCGCCGACAAGGCCAGCCGCGATGGCAAGCGCCCGCGCCGGGACCCTCTGCCCTCGGCGCCGCCCAGCGACGGCAGCCCCGCCTTCGTGCCGAACCTCCACCAGGCCGGCCCCATGGCCCACGCCGAGGCAGTCGGTTGACTACCC